GCAGAACAGGACTTTTTGTGCCATTGATTTTCGCTCAAGGACGGGCAGCGGCTAAGACGGCGGACGTATGGACGAGTTCACCGCAACGCGTTTGGTGGCACCATGCCAATCCATGCTCCAGTCGAGTTGCTCCAGTTGTGCCGCTGCTGGCAACGCAGCTCGTCCAAATCACCAACTAAACTAGTGGGCGGATCGCTTTTGGGCGGAGTGCTTTCGAAGTCCTGCTCAGCAACCAGCGCACCTTTCGTCGTGAAAGCGCCACACCTCGCTTCCTTGGCAGCCAAGTAACTGCTTCGTGTGGCGCATATACTTATCCGATGCACTCCATTTTTATCCTCATCGCTTCCTAACATGCTGTTACTGCAGCAGTTGTGTTCTGTTTGTGTCGAACGCCAAGAACCGTCATAGCTCTGGTTAGAGTTGGTTGCTAAATCCGAAATTAGTTCTTAGATCAGTGTCAAAAACATCCATGGGATATGCTTCACGGTTGACCACCACGACCTGAGATCCCTGTTTAATACACTCGTAGTGCTCCACAAGATCACAGGAGGTCAGTGCTAGTAGATGACACGTCGCATACTTACGAAAGAGGATCCATGCGGCCATGGGACGAAACTGATTATCTATCTTGAACAGCAAGGGGTTCCTGCTGCTAAGAGCATTGTTCAGTGAGCATCAGTACTCGGACACCGTTTTTTTTGCTTCATTTATTGTATTGTAATTTGATGCCACTTGGATTAGTAAAAAAACTGGTTCTTCTTGGAGCGTCCTCATTGAAACAGTATTTGAAGAATTATCTTTTTTATCAGGCGGTGATTGCATGTGATTTGGCTATTCAACTTGCACCCACTGCAATGGCGGGCTTGGCTCTGATACTTACTGAGGCTCTATCTCGTATGCAGTCTAATGCAGTACGCGCAATACCAATCATGGAGTTACTGTCTGACTCTGCAGAGATTCCTGAGTTCCACAAGTTCTTTCAAGTAACTAGAAGATAAAGTTGCTTCGAAAAGACTAGATTATAGTTGTATTCGCTCAAATTGATTAATTCTAGGAGAAACATTTTCGTTCCATAGTGGATACATTGGCTCCTCTATACCAATGGTCCACAAATTAATACATTCATAGTGGCGTCGATACATCGTGTCATGATGCGGTGGTTTTGTCGCGTTCCAGACAAAATGCGCTATCGAATTCAGAGGTACGTTTGACGGAATTTGGGCCTTCTGTACGAAATGAAGCTATTTCGCGATAAATATGGAGTGGAAACGAAGCGCAGTAGCATGAACCACTTACAGTAGTGTCCCACGAATTGGTGGCAGCTAAAATGGAAGAAGGACGAAGCGCTGATGGGCCCAGTATTCACATATGTCAGCTTTGTCTACCATACACCCCACAAATCCTACATATTTTGCTTCGCTGTCACGGGAGGTGGAACTTTATTTCATCCTTGTCAGCGGTTTCATTCGTTTTTTTCTCATTACGGCGTTACACACCCCATGTCTGCAGACTAACAAGTGTAATCACACATCAGTTCGATCCCGAACTTTGGCCTTCAATTTGACCCTTTCATTTGATGACTTCGATTTTCTTCACTAAAATCTTTGTGTTCCAGTCATATTGAGGATTCTGTGCGTATGTCTCCATATCTGTCATTTCCTGACATCGCTTCAGGTGGAGGTCGGCAACTAAGTGGCGATGGACGTCAGGTTAGTGTAGCTTCAAATTTGAATAAGGCATGTGCTGTGGAATATTTGAGCGTGATTTGGGCTCGCTGAGGTCCGGTAGTGATCACAGTTGAGGACTAAGAAAATCTGTTGCCCCTGACAAGTTGTCATGTGCTGGTTATTGACAGTCATGCATACCCTTTCGCGTGAATTCGCTTTTGTGCAAATAGGGTGTGTGTACTTAGTTTGAAACTTAGTACGGTAGCTCCAATTAGTGATTACTGTAGCGTACAGTAGTCACTTCGCACCTCCTCGGACTTGCCTGTGGATGACCAAATATCCAGCTGTCCACTAAGTGACATGCCTCATTTTCCCGGTGGCCTGCTGCTCTTGGATTAGAGAACAGTGCTGTCAAAGTAGTTTCTTTAGGCTGGAATGCTCGAGAACATTGAGAAAGAACACAGAATTTCACAGAATGTATTACAGGTACCCGGAGCATTATTCACGCTGGGTGGGAATGGGATGCCAGAGACGCCTCCTCCGATGGACGGAGTGGGATCAAAGGAGGAGCGTGGTCCAGACAGAGTGATTTTTCATATGCTCTCTTCATTAAGCGGTCAACAGCTAAATATCCTCACAGGACCTTGTTTGTTGATGGAAATATCGTTTGCAGGTCCATGAAGAGATATTGCAAGCCATGACTGCGTTTTTCCTTATCAGACGAATAGAAGATGACTGGGGAGATCCAAAGGTTTGCATTCCTTCACATGAATCACTAGCATCACGGCGATCGAGCGATGAATGGAAACCAACCATAGGCTAGGGTTTAGGGCACACGAGCCTTTTCCTGTGGCTCGAGATCTTTCGTTGCAGATCTACATCTAGATCTTGCACGTGCAACCCCTCTTGAAGAATGAAATGTTCTAATTAAATAGCCAGTTGCGGAGATAGCAAACATGAAATACCATGATTTGCTTTATGTATGAGGTCAATATTTATTTAAGATCCCGGAAAACATAACAGAAATCACTCAAGAGCACTTCATGGTAAACGATTCCATTTTCACAGTGAAAACTTTCGCCGAACATCATAAAGATCGTGAGAAGATCGAGATTCCAGCTCACGATAAAGGTGAGCGATTTAGGCCTCATTTTTCGTGATCTTTACCATGGATCATAGGAAGATTTGAATATTTTTGCAGTAAAATCTGTTTATGTTTAAGATATTGATGGTGATGTCTTTCCTTCCAAGCGTCGAGCAAGCGGTGATGGCTGAATCTTCGTCGCATTCTGGTGGCAACTTTACTGAACAGGTAGTAAAGGACTTATTCACTGCTATTGCCTGTTCGATCTTGTGTAAAATTTTAGCGAAGAAGGCATCAGTCTGCTGTACAAGTGAGGCGCCCGTCAAGCCAGATTGTAGCTGATAATGTTCAAGGGAAAACCTTAGATGACATGTATGCTACTACAGGGCAAATGCGCAGGGAGAGCTGTTCTAAAGGTTTGTAGATGAATATGAAGTCACACTTTGATAATCCAATTTATTCGTTTCATTTTATTTTGTTGACATACAGATGAGTAGTGGTCATCTTTCTGAGTGACTTCTGTTATCTCCTTATCACAAAACAAAGTTTGTTTTGCCCCAAATCTGATACGTGAAATCGGTTTAATTTTCGCCAAAATGGTGAACAATCACAAGATTTTTCTCGGTAAAGAAGATTTTTTTGAAGTTTTTTTTTGTCTAGCGAAAAACAACAAAACAAAACTGCACAAGTTCTATTATATTTTCAACTTCTACCTCACCATCATCGTTGATATTCATTCAGGCAAAGTCGTAAGGCAGTAATTAGCAAGAACACTCTTTCATTTTAGCAACTGTAAGATTTTTTTGCGAGACTGTGAAATTCTTGAAATATGAAAAGTTAAAATTAATGTTTCAAAATAGTCCATGCTGAAGGACCACAAGGTAGGACCTCGCAGCCCACATGTGGGCTTACTGTTTTTTTTTGCAGAGCATAGAGCAGCATAAAGTATGCGTTTCACATGCTTTCAACATTAAATGCTAAAGAAAGGACGAAGGAAGTCACACAAGCTCAAATTACGCCTTGCTTTTAGGCGTAAGAGCACTTCTTTCTGAAATTAGTCTTCCCGCGTCCTCTCCCTTCTCACTATCGGTCCATTCGGACTATGCGCGGCATGGGGGAACAGGGGCGCGTTGAGGGATTGTCATGTTCGTAGCGCAAGAATAACCATAGCGCAACTGTGACCATGGTTTGCCTTCAAATGGTAGGTAGTTGTGCGCACTGAAATTTTCACCGGCGATATTACTAAATGCTGTGCAACTGGATCTAGAAATACACATAGCTTTGTGTCATACGGTAATATTTCGACTTTCTTTATCGAGAGGTGGAACGCTTTCGTTCCTGGAGTATACTGGGACAGCTTGGTTAGCTGCGTCACAATGTAGCCCGCAAGAGCGGCTGGCGCTCACTCCACTCGTTGAGGATGGCCACCCCGAGGCTTCGATCAGAGCTAAGAATGGCCAACATTGATTTTACACCAAGTGGGCATAAGTGTAGGAACGAGAAAGTAGAAAACAGAAAGGAAACTGTTGAGAACGAGTGCAAAGCAAAGACAATGGATGAAGACGCTTTCTGGAACCCTTGTAAAAGTATAATTCCGTTTCTCCGTTCTCTGCCATGCTTTTTTAATAGTAGCGCCTCAAATCGCAACATTTTCTGCTTTTTAGATCTGAAGTTCCATCTTACACGTCGTGTTTCTGATTTTCATTTCGATATAAACTAACACGGTTCTCCGTGTGGTCTGGGCTTAGACTTAGGTGATTTGTTAACCCATAACGGACGGCGTGCGCCACAAGGTGGCGCACGACTATTTCTTTTGTTTTTGGAATGTTTCTAGCAATCTTAATATACCCATATATACTCTCAGCAATGTGGAATAACATATCTTCCCAGGACCTGGACGGCTGGATTTTTGACAAACCTACAATAAATTTTACATACATTTACATAAGTTTATTATTTGATGGGTGGCTTACCCATGGTTCGCACGTCCCGAGACCCCTTCCCCTAAATATAGCCACATCCTTGCTCGGGTTGTTGTTTCGCATTTTTCGATAATGTCACCTACAGCTTCCATTCATTCTTTGCACCCTAGTTTTAGAGCGGAAAGGCTACGAACTTGTCGTCAACGGAAATCTCTTTTTTCGGATGATGAGACTCCGACACCTACTTTAGCCCCGTCTTACCCCTGCTGTTCACATAAGCCTACATAAACCCTACCCTGGGTGGCGGCGTGCGCCACATGGTGGCGCACGCAACAAATACACTGGCCGTCCGTTATGGGTTAAGGCAACACGAAGTCACTAATCAGCATTACCCCAGCGAACTTGGTTTGTCAAAGAGACAATCACTTCCCTGTGTAAGGAATTGGCTTCTGCATATTGCTGCTCGTTTCCGATGCTATCATCTTGACTAAGAGTGGGATAGAGTCCAAAAATTCTAATAGATACTGTTAGGGAGCTTTGAAGACAGGAAGGTCCGGCGTCGGCGTTGAAGGAAACAACGACTTGAACAAAATTAGCAAGGTCGATATTCTGTTGTTTGGAGGTCGAAGTGAGCCCGTGCAGATGTCCGCCGAAACAAACCCTCACCTTTGTTTGAGGTACATACCAAATCGACAGTCGGACAGAGTGGAGAGAGTGTGTTGATGAAGATGTTCTATCGTTCCGTCGGGGGGGGGGCTGGATGCTGGGGGGGGGGGGGTGGGCGTACGGCGAAACGGTGTCGTAACGGGGCGCGCCCGAGAGGCAGCCATCGGGGGGTATTACAGCACTCCCGCACCTCACCCCGGAACCCGACGCCCCAAGCACGGAACGGCCGACCCGCCGACCAATCAATGGGTTGTTGGGGAATTCCTACTTTCAACCCTGACACAGCAATGTGGCACACAGTTATAACATGAGTGTCTTAGGATGAGCCGCAGCGGGTTCTTTCGCATCTTCACAGAAATGTGGACGGCAAAGGTTCTCATTGCTTACAGTCTTACTAATAAAAGAACCAGGGTCTCACCAATAGCTGTGACCGGCTTCCCTTCAACGTCGGAGAAAATTGCTGTCACGAAGGCCGCATACCTCAACGAATAACCAGCATCAAAGACACCATTGGCCACCACATTCAAAAGCTCGAGTCGTAGCTAACACCACCTCACTTCTAGTGAACAATATATGAAAATTTGGTTCTGTTTTCAGAAAAAGAGAGGCGCGACAAGATTCTAATTCTGCTAGCTTCGATGCTATCTTTCAATGCTTTGTGTGCAACAGCGCTCATGTTTAAGCTATTTTCACAGAGCTTGCTTACGTGCGTTGTTAGTCGAGCGAATGATATGGTGGTGTGAGGGTTTCCATTCTTAGGCTCAGTCCCGACTTTTGGTAAAATTCGTAGTTACGAACTTAGTTTTTGATTTTCTAAAATGATCTTACACTTTATGTGCATTCTTCTTCTGTGCCGTAGAGGTTTTTATGGTGGAACCCGTTTATTGGTCAACGTTTTGAGAAACCGTCAATTGATCTCATCACTTTCTACTGCGGATAGTAGCGGCACAGAAGAAGAAAACACACAGTATTGAAATGCCCAGGTTTCAAGACGACCGAACATGGAATATAGATCTTACACGTCATTTTTCCCATGAACTTATGTCTACTACGTGAATTTGCGAGGAATCTGTTTTTTGAGTTTTATTGTCCAGTAGTTTGACGTTCTCGAACTTCTGATCGCCATTGTATGGCTATATTGGGTAATGATGCCTGGTTAGCTTAACAAGCGCCTATTTTTGGATCATCGCAGACTGTTGCTTGAATCAAAGCCATGTGGGTAGAACTGATGGTATTGTAACAGAAGTCCAATATCTCATATTTTTAGCGTCTTCGTTTCATCGCCGGGGTCGGGGCTCTTACTTCACATCGCCAACCAAACTGGTGCTATACGTCTCGGAAGAAATCCGGCCCGATGAGGTTTTACTGCGTTCGCTCAGAAACTTGGATCGGGTTTGTAATCCTAGAATCCCTGTATGTTTATAATGCTAAGAGTGTATCTTACAGATTCCGGGCACAGAGTACCACGCTGTTGGAGTACTATATGTAGGTCAAAGGCAGGAGACTGAAGCTCAAATTCTGGCCAACGTGTATGGATCTGAAAAGTGATATGCACGATCTAAGTGAGTGGACTGCCAAGCGCTTATCCAAATTTCTTCGAAGTGAATGGACAATAGCATGATGGGATCTCTTACACACTCCGTGTGCGAATTGTTCTCCAGGAATCACCACTCTAAGGCGCTCAGACCGAAAATTTCGACTAAATTCTGAAAAACCGGGAATAGCGGGAGGCCGCTTCCTGGGGAAGGCAAGCCCCAGGATGAATTGGCGTACTATGAGCGTCATCAGTAATAAAGCTGGAGGTGGGAAGTGGTCTGAAAAAGAAATCCTCGATTACCCCCGCTGTGAGGATATCGCTGATTTCAGACGCATTCCATCTTGAGATAGAGAAGAAGCACGTTGGTTGAGTTCCACGAAACCAACTTCACTTGCTCGTCGGGCTTTAATAGTCACCGAACCGCAATCACACCGCTGCCGGAACTGCGCCCGTGCTTTTCTCTCAGCGTTACTTGACAGCCGACGGCGAAAGGCGTGGCTTGTTAGCGAAGGTGTGGATTGCGGATCGAGCGAGCTTCTAGCGCCTTTGCCGCACACTTTCAACTCGCAGAAGGGGCGCAACATCACCTAATCAACATTGTAGGTCTATGTATAAGTTGTGCAGTCTACGTGTATGATCAAATTAAAGGCGCGGTCTAGGATTAGGCTCGTTCACCTCTATAACGATCGTGGATAGAATAGTGGACTGGACAAATTACGACATAGCCCACATCCAGCGTAACGAAAGTAAAACTGAAGCACATGTCCAAATATTTTGGTTGATACTCAAGAAGACATCATCAGCGGTAATCTTCTGGTAAATAGGTAGCAGGCTTCAGGAAACTACCGCTTATTCTGTCACCTTAAACGAACAGCGCGAGCAAGATTTCTCCCTCCGCTTCTGGAATTCTTTGTCCGGTTTGCTTCGTGACTTGTGGACGGCTTCACCAAAATGGATCATTATCGTGGTAGTGGCA